GGTAGGGGTGGGGCTGTCTTAGAGCACAGGAATTTGTTTAAGGGCAGGGCTGCCATTTTGGCTGATTCACAAAATGGTGACATTATTGTTCTATCAAGGTTCAGGTATTGAATACTTGGTCCCCAGCTGGTGGTCCTATTTTGAGGTGTGTGTGTGGTGGAGGGAGTGGTTCCGGAAACTTTAGGAGGTAAGACCCAGCTAGAAGTAGGTCACTGAGGGAAAGAGTCCTTAGAGGTACCTTGTCCCTGGCCCCTTCCTGTGTCTCTGCTTCCTGTCTATCATGAGGTGAAGAAGGTCCTCTACCACATGTTCCAGCCATCGTGATGTTCTGCCCAAGTGCATGGGGCCAAGCAACCATGGGCTGAATCCTCTGAAACCATGAGGCAAGACATATCTTTCCTTAAGTTACTCTCTCAGGTATTTTGTCAGTGACAAGTAACACAACATTGTACACTTGTGTTCCAAGGAATAGAAGAAAAGATGGGTTTCATGGCGAAATTAGGTTTGGAAACAGCAAGGTAGAACAAAGAGAAAAAGGTTGCTTCATCCTGGATTTCGTGGAGCCTTTCTGAAATCTATGAAGCTCCAAGCAGGAGAAATAGCATACAGGATTTCCCAAACTAATCCCATCCTTCATCTGTGAGCCACTGTAACAGTGATTCTTCCTTGGATCATATTTCAGAGCTGATGGAACAAAAAGAACTTGGCTCCCTTGGACATCCCTTATGTTCTGGTCCATGTGAGCCAGAACTCCACGTACAGCTGTGGTGCCCCACAGAGGGGGCAGTGATGTAGTGGGTAAAAAGTGCAAGGCCGTTAGGGACTAAATGCTGTGTCCTGCCCACAATGTGGTGCTATTGAGAGAGGGCCTTTGGGAGGTGATTAGGTATGAGGCCATAAGGGTGAGGTCATAAAATAATCATGAGGTCATGATTAGTGTCCCAGATACTAACCTATTCAGACTTGTTTTCTCATCCATAAAATAATGACAGATTATGCATAAAAACTAAACTAAGTGAGGATCTGGTGTGGGATGAGCTCACAACATGGGTGAGTACTCAATGGAGAATGAGTTGATTGGGTGAGCCCTCAGTGCTGGGTGAGCCCTCAGTGCTGGGTGAGCACATGGTATGGGGTGATCCTCAGTGACAGGTGAACACCTGGTGCAGAGCGGGCAGGTGAGGACTCAGTGCCACTCAGTTCATATAAACCACCACACAAAGAATCAGTCAGTCATAAAACAGCTTTCCCCACCATTGACAACTCTCAATAATTTCAGACAGATGAGAGTAAAGGAAAGCCAGAAACATCAGTCACCGTTTTCAATTTCTTTCTCACTTTTTTCTCACTGTTATCAATTTCTCTCTCACAAATCACCCTCTCCTCTTTCCAGAGAGGTGGCCATAGAGGTGAAGTTTCACCTCTGTTCACCTGGGGCAGAAAGGCAGGAGTGCACTCACCTCCTCCCCAGCTCCTTTTAGGGAGATTCAGCAGGCCGGCCTAGCAAGCCTGAGGTCACCTTCATAAAGAGCTGAGTTATTTGCACTTCAAGACCTCTTACTGGGTTGGGGGTATAGCTCAGTGGTCTAGCATTTGCCTAGCACAAGGGAAAAAGCCCTGGTTCGAACTCCAGCACTACAAAAAGACACACAGACACACACACACCCTTTACTACCAAATAAAAATGACACAGAAAGTAAGAGAAAGCTTTATTTTCAGTCACTGTCCTACTTTCACCTAAGTGTTGCCAACAACTGGATGGGATGTTTCTCTACATCCCTTGACACCTGAATTGTTCAATCATCAACAATCACTAGTATATCAGCTTAAGGAGTAAACAAGGAGCTTTCTTTAAGGCCACAGGGTACACCTCCATGTCTGCATCAGGTAGGAAGGAGCAGGCAGAGGGCTGAAACAGCACTCTTCTGCAACTGCAGCCTCATCCCAGGATCCTCCAGGATAAAGAGGAAAGAAAATTTTGTTTTCCTGTTTCTCAAAAAGGAAAAATCAAGCAAAGTTTCTGAAACACAACCTTACGGACACAGCTGTTTCACACAGTGTTCCAGCAGTTTTCCTCTTAACGTCCGCCAGAATTTTTACACCAGGGTTGAATTAGATAGAAGAATTAACTGAACGAGCCAGGCGCCGGTGGCTCATACCTGTAAGCCTAGCTATCTGGGAGGCTGATATTGGGATGATTACAGCTAGAGGCCAGCCCAGGCAAAACAACCACAGCAAAATGTACTAGAAGTGTGGCTCAAGCAGCAGAGTGCCTGCTTTGCAAGTGTGAAGCCCTGAGTTCACACCCTGGTTCCACCAAACAAACAAAAGAATTAACTGAACTAGAAAAGGGAAAGTCTACTTCAACAAAAAGCTGTCTTTAGACATAACTCCAGTGACATGAATATTAACAATACAGCACCTTTCGACTCACACTATCCTCTGTGCCATCTGTTCTGGACACATAGGCATCTTGGTCCCCAAAGGCAAGTACTATGAAGTGCCTGAATGCCTTAGGAGCCCTGGAGCTCCTGCGGCCCTTTGGGTAGCAGCAGGGGTTGGCACTGTGGGCACCACCAGGTGAGCCTCTGGAACCCATCTGGGGGCCCAAATGCCTCCTTCAGGACCTGGTGTCCAGCAGGACACTGTTCCTTCTGATAGATCTGTGTGTGACACTGCTTGCCCAGAAACTTGCCCTGAAGCCAGTCTGTACTGAACTCCAGAACGTGATTCACGAGGGCCTCCAACTTCAAAGAACTCAGGAGTGAACCGAGAGAGAGGGGATGGATCCCAGCTCTGTACAAGGCTTCGTTCTTAATGATGTTCCCTGAAACAAAGCAGGAAGAGGATGAAGGAAAAGCACACATACCACCATGAAACCATCCAGAAGTCAGAGCAAACGGGTTGGTATGAGAACAGTAGGACACAGCAGGAAGACCTGGTACCAGTGCTGTCACTTGATGGGGCTCACGGCAGAGCAGTATCTCTGAGTTGAATCCCTGTCTGTAAAATGGGCCTTGTTATTCTTACCTTAAAGGTTGTTCTGAAGATGAAATAACACTCATGTGTGGCCCATGTCACAGCAAAGCGGTTTTAGCAAGGGCCTTGGCACCTACTGCCTGGATTTTTGTTGTTGTTGTTGGCTTTGGGGTAGGACTGGGGTTTGAACTCAGGCCTTCATGCATACAAAGCAGTGCATAACTGCTTGAGGCACATCTCTAGCCCTTCTTGCTTTGGTTATTTTGGAGATGGGGTCTTGAGAACTGTTTGCCTGGGATGGCCTCAAACTGTGATCTTCCTGATCTCAGCCTCCCAAGTAGCTAGGATTATAGGCCTGACTGCATGAATTTGAATCCTAGCTCAACCAGGTCCTGCCAGGTCAACTAGGTCCTGCCATGGGGCCTTCCCAAATTCTTCAGACTCTTTAAGCATCAGGTCTCACATCTGTAAAACAGGCATTTCTTACCTTGCTTTTGTGGGCAGTAAATAAGAATTCAAGATCATTGAGCAAGCTGGGGGTGTAACTCAGTGGTCAGTACTTGGCTAACATTCATGAGGCCCTGAGTTTGATACCCAGCACCAAAAAAAAAAAAAAAAAAGCTGAGCAGAAAGGCTGGTACACAAAGTTAATACATATTCACTATGAATTAAAATGTCAAGAGAGATGCCTGTTACATGAAAAGAGATTAGGAGGCATTATTAATGATTTTTTTACTCCTGCCTCATTCTCTGTGAAGCCACCCTTGATCCTTTCTTCCGGGATCAGTATTCTTTTTTTTTATTTTTTGGCAGTACTGGGGTTTGAAATCAGGGCCTCTACCACTTGAGCCATTCCACTAGCCCCAAGAATCAGTATTCGTTCTTCAACCTCTGCTTGCACTTTCATAACCAGTCTTAATACCTGTGAACGAGTCTGATTTGCTGGGCTATGAACTGATGATCTTGTTAAGGACAGAAGGCAAGTCTGCCAGAGGACAAAACCTTCAGCATATTTTGTGGGAATGGATGAAAGAAATGACTCATCTTTCCAAGAGTTTGGTAATCACATTCTTGGTTACACAGTTTCCCTCTAATATCCACTGGCAGCTCATCTGGACTCACCCCGGCTGCACCACTCACTAGCAATGTGTCCTTTGCTGTTTCCTCCTCTGAATAAAGGGAAAGCTAACACATCACTAACTTATGAGCAGCAGTGAGGATGGGACCTGTACCTGAGGTGATGGAGCCATGTGAATATTGTTATGCTATTAGCGCTCAATGTACATATTCAGAAGCCACTTCTGGAAGTCTTTATTTCCAAGGTTCTCACATGAAAATGCAAGCCCAGTGCTAGTAAGCCAGTCCTCCGTGGCCCTCATGGGATAAGCTGTAGCAGGTAAAGTCACACCTTAGATATGGAGGTGTCTTTGTCATTACCAGCCTGCTTCAGCAACCAGTTGTGCTGGCACTTATTTTGGGCCTGCTGTGGGGAATGAAAGGTATATTCTCCTGGAAATGAGGCCAGATCACTCTTGTGGTCCAGCTGGCGCAAGAAGCCATTATACTTTTTCACATCGTCCAGCTTTCCTCCTCACCTGAAAATGCTCAACTTCACTACTCAGATCAACTGAAAGCAGAGAGAAGGAATTTGCTTCTTCCTCATGGCTTCTAAGAGCCTGACTAATCTGAAGCCTATCTGTGTTTTGACAGCAGGAAGCTCTAGCCACTGAGAGCAACATCCATTAGTGAAAGCCCTCCTCTCTGCTAGTGAATGACAGGAAGGACTTCAGTGCCTGGCAGACCCTGGCCCAACACCTCCTATGTGCCAGGCACCACACTAGGTGGTGGAGGACACGAGATGAATGAACACTCTTGGTTACAGTTTCCCTCTAATATCCACTGGCAGCTCATCTGGACTCACCCTGGCTGCACCACTCACTAGCAATGTGCCCTTTAGGAGATCAAGCTCTAATACGGCTGTCAGGAGGCTTAGAGTGGGCAGTCCAATCAGGATGTGAGTGCTGAGGCCAAGAGAGAAGTTAAGAATGTCTCATCTAGCCCCCTCAGTTTAAAAGTAAGGGAAGCTAAAGAGATTAAGTGGTCTCTAACAAGGCTAACAATGATGGTACAATGAGAGGAGGGGGACTTAGAGCTTGTGACTCCCAGTCGAGTGATTTTTCCATTATGCACCTCTGTGGGACTCGTCTCTTTTCCATCAGTCATACCTAAGCCTGAGAAATATCTCTGGTCCAACAGCGTGTAGCACACAGGCTGAGCCTGGCGCAGAGCCTCCATGGCTTGTCCTCGATGGAACTCCTTAGACAAGATGTCACAGGTGGGCTCCACGACTGGGGAAGGGCTCCAAGACATCTGGCAATTATAAAATGCCAGGAAGCCACCACCACCAAAGTGCAGGACCAACCTGGGAAGAAAGACAGATCACAAGTACATACAGTTACCATTGTATAGTCAGTTTACATTCACATTTGATGACCACCATAAAGTCAGGGCACATATGCATTCAACAATCACTGGATACTTGGATCACAGGTACCTACAACAGCCACTGTATGGTCAGGTCACACACAAACACATGCCACCTACTGCATAATTAGATCACATGTACACACAACAATCATTGCGCAGTCCAGTCAGATATACTCACAACTGTTGTACAGTCAGGTCACATGTACACATAACTACCACTGTACTGTCAGACCACTCACATACATTATAACTATACAGTTACACATACATAACTAATACTGGACAGTCAGATCACTTGTACACACAACCACCATTGTATGGTCATGTCACATGTGAACACTAGTCATCACAGTTAAGTCACATGCATACATGATGACCATTGTACAGTCAGGTCACACTGTACACAAGAGAATCACTGTGTAGTCAGGTCACATTCATATGCAAAGGCTACTGTAGTCAGGTCACATGTAAATACCTTGTGCATTATGAAAACAGAACAATGAAACTTGTTGAAATTGTTCTAAGAAGGCGGAGAGTGGGCATGAGTGAAGAATGATAGAGGGGGTGAACCTAATTAAGATATATCGTAAGGACATATGTAAATGTCACAATGCAAATGTATCCCCCCATACAATTATTATATGCTAATTAAAAATATTTAAGGACTGGAGGCGTGGCTCAAGCAGTAGAGCACGAAGCCCTGAGTTCAAACCCCAGTCCTACCAAAAAAAAAAAAAAAAACATACAACAGCCACTGTACAGCCAGATCACATGTACACAAAATGACCACTGTTCAGTCAGGTCACATACACAGTGACCACTGTACAAGTCACATATACATAAAACTACCACTAGGCAGGTCACACACACATACACTGTATAGTCAGATCACAGGTACGCATAGCATCCACTCCACAGCTAGGTCAAACATACATCCAGCTTCTACATGTCAGTTCTGATTAACCTGCAGAAGCTAAGGTCCCAAAAGAGAAAGCGATGAGATGACTGTGTCAGAATTATAGACATCTCAGGATAAATGGAATAATTAAAACATATGGATATATTTATTTTATTTTACTTTTTCTGGTTATAGCAATACATGTTCACAGAAAACAGAAAAGTCTGAAGTTCAGAAGGTGTGGCTATGTGAACAAAACGGGGGCTCATTAGAGAGGAAGACAGAGAAATGACTGCAAAGGAGGGGCCACCTCAAGTGCCCCATCCTGGAGACGCAGCTCTGCATACTCCCAAGCCTCCCAAATGCTGAGGACAGGGCAGAGACCTCACAAACTCCGATAAAGAAATAAAGGGCTACTGTGCAGAAGCAGCTAATCTGATGGGGGCTGCCTTCACCTGTGAAAGAGCAGAACCAGAAGAGCCACATCCCACATGTGTGATGTAATTCATGGCCTGGGGGCATGACAGACAGGCCTTGATGTATGTACAGTGCCTCAGGTAATTGCTCAAGGAAAAATACACTGCCAGAAAAAATAAATCAGAAAGGATCTCAAGATGGGGAGATGAAGAGCAGCACTGATTTTGTAATATGTACCATGAGACTGTGATTGTGATAGTGTGACTAAGAACTGTGATTCTGCTGATAGAAAAGCATTCCGGAAACAAAAGATACCCATTTCAATGTTATTTAATATTATTTTAGCTATTATATAATAATATTATTTAATTTAATAACCTGGAATTTAAATCCCAAACTAGTGCATCAAAGACCTTAAAGAAACAGACCTAAAATAAATGAAAATTAAATGGAAAACAAACCTAAAACTAAGTGGAAAAAACTGAGGCGAGCAACCTGAACACTGAGGGGCATATGAGCATCAGAAAAGCAGAATTCAAGCAGGGGTTGTAGCTCAGAGTACTGTGTGTGCTTAGCATGCACAAGGCCCTGGACTCAACTCCTAGTGTAAAGACAGGGGATGGCCATACCGTTTATGAGGATGCTACCAGCCTTGAGATCTTGGAGAGTAACACATAAAACACAATGTTTAGAGATACAAGGAGAAATTCATAAAACCACAGTGACTCTGGACCCTCCAATGCCTTGCTTTCCAATTTTGACATATTTTGTAAGCAAAATACAAGCAAAGAGAGAGAGCGTCTGGACTAGCAAAGGATTAATCTGTTCTTAGCATGTGCAGAATGTTTTACTCTCAAAATTAAGTATGCAAGACACAAGCAAAGATCACTGATGTGTTTGGCCACACTCCTCAATAGATGCCTAAGGTAGACAATTTACAGGTTGTAGGTTCTGACCATATCCAGTTAACAGTTTTAAAACAAACAACAGCTGGGTATGGTGATGCACACCTATAATTCCAGCACTTGGGAGGCAGGGGTAGGAGGATCAAGAGTTCAAAACTAGTCTGGGCTACATGGAAAGACCTTGTCTCAAAAACAGAAAAACAAGGAAAAAAAAACAAAAAACAAAAAAAATTCTAAACACCAAAACATTTGGAAATTACGAAATATTTTTTCATATAGAAACAGTAATATAAAGGTAACATTATGTACTTGAAAGACCAAGAGAGCAGTCCATTTTTTTGGGCCCCTGGGGCTTGAACTCAGGGGCTAAAACTCAGGCAAGTCTAATAAAGAAAAAAGAGGAACAGCCAGGTGTCAGTGGTTCATGTCTGTAAGCCGAGCCACATGGGAGGTCGAGGTCAGGAGGATCACAATTTGAGGCCAGAAAGACCCCATCTTCAAAATAACCAGACAAAAATGTACTGGAGATGTGGCTGGCTCACGTGGTTGAGCACCTGCTTTATAAGTGTAAAGCCCTAAGTTCAAACCCCAGTCCTACCAAAAAAAAAAAAGGAACAAAGCAAGGTATAAAACATGGAAAATAAGAAAACAATAAAAGATTAAAATATAAGAGGTATATGCTAAGTCCATGACAACAACTGTGAATACCACAGGTGAGCTGTTTATGGAGGGCAGTCCAATTCCTCTGAGGTGAGTAACTCAGGAGCCAGCCCTGTACCTGCCTTACATAAGTGAGACTCCTAGGGTCTCTGAGAAAGAGATCCTGACCCTCTCTTCCTCTGGATGCCATTTTTTTGGGCGGTACTGGGGCTTGAACTCAGGGCCTCATGCTTGCTAGGCAGGAGCTCTGCCACTTGAACCACTCCACTAGACCTATGGATGTCTTCTTGAGTAGGTGTAAAGCCTGGCACTGCATTTGCCACTTGCAGCTGCTCTAAGGACACAACCCATGTGTGGGAAAGCACAAAACTGGGAGAGTCTCAAGAACAGGTTGCCAGAACCTTGGAACGGAGTCACCTGCAAAGCTGCCTCCCTCTGACCTTCCAATATGTGAGCTAAAGTCTCCTGAGCTGTCCACATAGCCTAAAGCATCCCAGGGTCCCCACATCATGCCATATATAAAGACTACACTTTGAAACATTAAAAAAGATAACACTGTAGAAAACAGCCAAGCATGGTGGTGCAGGCCTCAGGTCTCAGCACTTTGGAGGCTAAGGCAGGAGAGCGGACTACATAGTGAGACCTATCTCAAAAAACCAAAACCAAAACATAATTAAACAAAAAACTCTTGAGCAAATTAAACTTTGGGATAAAACGGGCCTTCTTTAGTAAGAGGAATCTTAAGAGTGATCAACACCGATTATTGACTTCCTAAAGAATAAAAATCCTAAATGCCAAAAAGCTTCATACACAGAAAGGAATCAAGATCGAAACAATCCTGGCAACACACATCACAAAAGTTACCAGACTTAGTACATAAAAGCTCCAACCAACTGACAGCATTTACACGAACAACCCAATGACAGCGAGACTTCAGCTAAGCCAGCACTTCTGTGAGGCCCTAAGGATGTTCATTCTCTTCAACTAGTAATTCCTCTTCTGGGAACTGACCCTAAGGAAATAATCCTAAGAACAGATGAAATTTTATGCACAAAGCTATTGTTCTCCCGAGAAAACCCTGTTCTTAAATTCAGAGCACACAAGTCAAGTTATAAAATGTTCCTCTGAGACCTTCCACCCTCAAATGCCAGGTTTGTTGGGGGAAAAAAAATGTCCTCTTCTCTCAGCTACCCCAAGGAGTTATGATCCAATTCTGAGTATAGACCAGTCATCTAGTTCCTACTGTGGCCTCTTTTGCCTCCTGGACACAGGGTGTAGGCCCAGCAGGCTATATATACACCAGTGTGAGCCCCCACCCCAGCCCAGTGCATGCTCTGTCACAGTGGGGGCCACAAGAATACTGCAGAGCCTGCAAAGACCCCACTAGGCACACAATTACCTGGGCACAGGGTCCTTCCAGTCACCTCTCTTGTTGGCTTTCTTCGCTCTAGAGAAGTTGTTCACCCAGACACTGCCAAACAAACCAAACTTGACCTGCAGCCACCTCCGGCCACCTGCTGTAGGGCTGTCTCCCAGATACTCAGGGGCACTGAATCCACTGGGATCAGACTTTGTGGATGGGGTGGAGCCAGCAGAGATTTTCTGACTGTTGGACCCCAAGGTCAGCTCTGGGTCCACATCCTCTTCCTTCTGAGCTCCTTGCTGTAAAAACTCTGGCAGTGAGTGGCTGCCAGGCGACCCCATTTGTTCATCTGGATCAAATCGAAGGAATAATTTCTTTCCATGCACCTAGGAAAAAATGAACACTGATCTAAGCCTTAGAGACCCAGAAAGGGCCTGAAGGCTCTACAAACAGCTGATTGCAGACTCCTCAGCCTGAAGCTTTGCCAAATTGCATTTTTGGGCCCTGCCTTTTGCTCTTTTGCTTCAGTGCTGTGGGCAGTTGGCACATGTCTTCCCAAGTGACTGAAAGCAACAGGAGTGATTAGATTAATATTTCAAGACTAGCCTGGCCTACATCATGAGATCTTGTCTCAAAAAAGAAAAAAAAGTGGACACAACTGTTCAACAAGTGGTAAATGGATGCCATTCATCATAAAATGTAGTACATTTACATAATGGAATTTTATTCAGCAGTAAAAAGAAATAAAGCATTAACACATGCTACATTAATGAACCTGACATTATATGAAACTAGTCACCAAAGAAACATGTATTACACGATTCTAGGTATATGAAATGTCCAAAAGAGGCAAATCTACAGACAGAAAGTAGACTAGTGGTTGTTGTGGGCTGGGGTGAAATGGGGAGTGACTGCTAAGGGGTACTGGGTTTCTTTTCAAGGTAACAGAATATATTCTAAAATAGAAATACTCAAATATTCTAAAATCTGTGGTGATGGCTGGATAACTTAGTGAATTACACACCTTAATGGGTGAATTGTATGTTACAAAAATTACATCTTATTAAAGCTGTTAAGTGTTTTGTAATCGGTTAAAAGTATGTAGTGGGGTTTGATCCCTATATCCACCCACCCACAAACAACCATGCAATAACTACCCACCTCTGCACTTCCCACTGTGAGGGCAACCTCTGGGTTATACGAGCCCCTTTCTGAGTCTATTGTGAGTAGTCAAACACAATTCTCATACAGAAAATGGAGAACTGACAAGGAACATGCCAGAAAAACACCTGGTAGAGTGAAATCAATCTTTTCTTTAGCACACCCAAGTCCCTTTTCCTGTCTGTAAGTCACTGCTTCTCAGATTGAAATGCTTTTCCTCTCATTGAGTTCATCAAATTCCCTTCTCCAAAGTCCAACTCAAGCCCCACCACCTCCAGGCCACAAAGAACCCTCAGTGTGTGTGTGGGTAGGCCATCACTGGGGCCTTAACCTCAGCTCCACTCCTCCCCATTTAGCCATGTGGCCAGTTTCCCTGGATGTAAGTCTTTCCTTCCCAATACAATTCTAAGTTTCCCTGTGACAGAGACCCACTAACAGAGGGAGGCAAGATGGGGTCCCTCTCAGCACTGCCAGGTAGCTCCTGGAAGCCACCTCCCCAGGCCTCTCTCAGGGTTACTGCAACATAGACTTCTGCCTGTTTACTGGGAAACCTGCTCCAACTCCATCTCCATTTCCCCTACCACACATTCTTCTGTCCACGTATCCATTTGGTCTCCCATCCAAGTACTAAGCAGGCCTGACCCTGCTTAGCTTCCAAGATCAGACGAGATCGGGCGTGTTTAGAGTGGTATGGCCGTAGAACACATATCCATTTGGTCATACTCTGAGCACCAGCTCTGTGAGAGGCAGTGTCACAAGCGCTGGAGGTCAGAGACTAGGGACCTAATCCTGCTCCTACCAACCTTGAAGAAATCTGTACAAGGCCATGTGTTGGACGGTTGGGAGACCAGAACCCCTAAACTTGGACAATTTTCTGAGCCTCAGTTTCCAAATATTTAACTATGGTGAAGGTCTGTGAAGCCTCTTTCAGTCTGAGAATAGTTTTGTAGCCTGTCTCTCTCTCTCTCTCTCTCTCTGTGTGTGTGTGTATGTGATACTAGGATGTAAGAACTACCAATTATTGAGTGCCTGTTATGTGGCAGGTATAAAATCTACACCTACAACAGGTAGATGGTTTATCTCCCATTTTACAATAGAGTTAGTTAAAGCTAAGAAATAGAACTTGCTTAAGAGCATGCAGCCGAGAAGCAGCAGAGTTCACTGAATTCCCGTGCAAACATTTACTACGCACTTATGTGCTGGGTTCTCAGCTAAGTACTAGAGGCACAAGGTTGGTATGGATACACCCCCTGCCGTTTCTCTGTAGCCTCCACTCAACATGCAAGACAAACTTGGCAACCAGGATGAAACCAGAGGGAGTAAGGGTATCCTGAAAGCACAGAGGAGTCGTTTCTCAGGTGTAAGCCAGCAGGAGAGGTGAAGTGGAAGCCAGAAGACTGACTAGGAATTACGGTAACCTTTAGGGGCAGGGAAAGGGCAGAGGTGGGAGAAAAGGAAGACCTGCCCATGCAAAGAAGCAGCCATCCAAACAATGGGCAAAACCCCCTGAGCTGCAGGCAGCTGGGATGAGTGAAGACAGACTCGAGGCTGGGTATGAAGGTTAGAGAGGAAGGCAGGGGTCAGGCCACAGCGAGCCTCTTGAGTCAATTCTGATTCTTGCTTAGAACAAAGTTGGGCATGTTTGAACCCAGCTCTGCACTGATGCTCTTTCTTTACTTCCCAGCTGATTCACGGGATCCAATGGATCCTAGCTAAGAGTGCACATCAGGCTTTCTCTGGACTCTGAACAGGGGTGTCCAGCCTGTGCCTGTGTGCTCTTCACAGTCCATAGTAGTGTGACTTCTGGCTGGGCAATATGGCACTGAAAGACCATGGTACTGAAAGTCCAGTCCTAGCATGATCATCCTGGGCTCATGGAATGGGGACAGTATAAGACATCCTTGACAGGGGAGGACATGCTGAGGAAGCCAGTGCACCTGAGGGAGCCCCAGGAGCCCACCCACAAGAAGATGCCAAACTTACCTGGGCATCCTGGAGCCACAGAGACTGAAGAGTTGCAGGGTGTAGCTTCTGACTACTGCCCCCTGTCTTGACCACCTGCTGGCCCACAAAGGGGGAGACGAGGTGGTGAAATTTCCTCACAGATGGCCCTTCTGGCATCCCTGCAGGCAGAAGTGGGCAAAGAAGGCCACTGGCTTAGCTCCTTCCTCTCTAGCATGTCTGACACTGCCAAGCTCTCAGCAGACAGTTTTTGTCACCAACTTTAAGCGTATATATGGCCAAAAATGGAGCACAGCGGGGAGGGTGAGATCACAGGTCGAACTTTGGCAGTGTGAGGGCTAGCTTCTCAGGAATGGAAAACTTCCCAGCCCCTCACCTTCTTCATGCAGCAAATACCTATTAAGCATCAAAAATGTGCTAGGCGTTATATTGCAGGTATCATCCAAAGGCAGTGACAGCTGGCCCTTGTCACTCTTTGCCTGGACCTTGAGCCCCTAACTCACCTCCAGGCTTTCTGTCCTCCTTCCCCATCCTACCCCCAGGATAGTCATTCCCACCCTTTGCTGCTGACTCATTCCCCCAGAAAGTGAACCATCCCTAGGTAGGGGAGATGCATATGAGGTGACCTCCATGCAAACAGAGCTCAGAACTGACAAGTGCAGAACCAACCAGGTGAGTTCAGAGCAGGGAGGCTACCTCCAGTGTTAAGTACCTGACCATGGAAAGCAGCTGTAGCCCTTTGAGGGCCATGCAAGGCTTCCCCACCTACCCCAAACAGCCAAGATCACTGAGCGTGGTCTACACCTGGACTTTTCTCTACATAGGAGTCCCTCAGCCTTACCAAGACGCTAACCTACCAGCACAAGATCCTGTAAGTAGCTGGCTAGTGGTAATCGTTGATTGCAATGATTCTAAACGACACACTTTAAAAATTATTTTTTAAACTGCAGAAATGGGGATGCTTCTTACATCCCACGCATTCTCACAGTGCATCTTCAATTCCATGGCACCTTAATTTCTCTGAGTCAGGGAAACATTTTCCCTACTGAGACTTTCAAGGGAAAACTGCTGGGCTGGAAGGTTTGCCAGACACAGCAGAACCGTATCAGCTCCCAGCCTGCCTCTGCAATGCACCCAAACCCTAAATCTTTCAGCTCCTGAACCCGTTTCTCTTAGATATTCTGATGGAGAGGGATGCAAATGAGAACCGAGGGCCTCCTGTGCGGCGAGATCGCCGCCCACCCTGGCGCCCCTCCCGCACCGCGGGTACCCTTCAAGTCTCCAGGCTGGGGAACGGGCCTGCGAGGGCCTCGGAGCTTGTGGCCGCTGTCCCCTCAACAACGAGGGGCTGAGGAGCGCTCCCTAGCTCCTTAGGGGGTGTGGGGGTGGAGAAACGGGCGCGAGGCTCACTAGGACCCCCAGGAAAGACGCGGGACGCCGTGGCCCACAGACAAAAACGAAAGTACAGTCCGGGTGTGGGTGTCCTTAAGTTTTAGACAACGGAGTTTTCACTACGGAAAAACCGAGCTATCAACGCGCACGTGCGGCGACGCCGGGACTCGGGGGGCGGGGAGGCCCGCGAGCCGTGCGGCCCGCTCCGCGCAGGACAAGGGGATCAAGGCGGCCCCCGTAGGCCGCAAGGGGACTGCACTCACCGCCAGAGCCCCGCCGCGCCGCCGGGAGGAGGGGCCGCGCTCGCGAAGCTCCGCCCCCGGAGAGCGCGGGAGGCGGGGCCCCCGCCGAGGCCCGAGGGAAGGGGGGAGGGCGGGCTCCGCGCTCAGCGTCACCAGGACATTCTAGGGCAAAGCCGATGCTCTCCGAATACCACGGCCTCGGATGGTGCAGACCGAGGCGGGTCTCTCTGTTCTTCCAGCGCCTTCATGAACTTTTCAAAGGGGAATTTTTTTTTT